CTTTTATCAAGCCAAAGATCAATTTTATTCCAAACGGACGTCAATTTTCAGCAAGGTTTACTGTCGAGCGGGAGAAATCAAGAGATGACAATATTTCTATACTCAAGTCAACCCTTTGGGTTTGAACAAAAAAGGGGATAAGATATTGATGAGACAACAACCCAACGACACAGACAATCAAGACATTTAGAGTAAACATGTAGTCTTTTATAATAGAGAGATCCCTATACAGAATATCAAGCTCAAAACCGCTTCATGTATAAATAAAGTATTTAATATTATCTATCGTTAAAGATATCAAAACAGGCACAGAAATGTTTTGTATGGTTGAAAAGTGTTACCATTTCATTTTTTAATATCGATCAGTGGAAATCATAAAAGGTACATGTAATAAAAACTTTTTGCTCCTTAATGCCACTTGCTTAGCGGAGGAACCGCAAGTACAAATGTTGACGTCTTTGGTTTGACCCGGCCGGGGTTCGAACCCACGACCTCCCGTACTAGAAGCAAAAACACTATCACGAGAAATCCGAAGCGTTCAGAAGAATACAATATCATACCAAAAAGCTAAACAATTCAATCTCATAGAACTCCCCCTTTTACTTAAGCCAGCAAAAGGTATTTAACCTATTGATATCATTGAAAACTTCACTTAAGTATCGATGGTCGACTTCAGAGTAGATTTCATGGACCAACGCTTTCTGCACATTAAGAACTCTTGCAGCAATTCTTTGAGGGATCCGTATGTGGCCAGCTGTTGAAAGGCTAAATTTCTGTCCTTTTCCAATATACCCTCATTGGCATTCCAAATTTCATGTCAAACCTCACAGTCGACCTTCCATTTTTGCTATTGCAGGGCCTACCTATTGTATTTATAATTAATGTGTTCTCGTTATGAACTTACATGAAATATTTTCCAAAGGACGTTAAACAAACAACATTAATCTAACAACTTCATAAATAATTCCTTGTAAACAGTATACACGAAGACAAGATATTGTACAATGCTATAAAGTAATATTTCCATGTATATCATTCGATAATTATGGAAACTTAAACGACCTTTTTTCAGTTATCTCTTTGAAAACCACTACATGAACTGTTTTCTTTCGTTCTTAGATCTACTGTTTTATCACGGTCTATCATATATGATTGTGTCAATTTATTATAGAACTAAGACACGTAAGAATAGATTTTTAAGGGGTGATTGCTTAGTTAAGACGTGTAAAGGAAATGACGGATGACTAAAATAAAAGTGTTTATTTTCATGTAATATATTGTATTTCAATTTAAAAACGATTGTCAGTCTTGCCAAAATATCTCATCTTTACCAGTTTTGTGTGAGCCACTAAAACCTACATTACTTGATTCTAAATATATTACATTTAGGCCTTTTCAATATGATTTTATTCATTGAAGTTAACAGGCACAGTTTTGAATTAAAACTAACAAACAAAACACTATTTATTAATCAATCGGACTGGACAAGAGAACATTTATTATTTTGCATTTGCATGTCACGTAGTATAGGCAAGGAACATAATTAAAACCAAAATGAACATTTATCTGAATAGTCTCAAAGATCCTATGCATTAGGTCTGTTTGATTAGAAGTTGTGATAAAATCTGTTTAAATAATTATTTAATTGTTGGAGGAAATTTACTTACTGTTTTCGTATGGTCTGGTCTTTATAAGATTTCAAGATCGTAAATAACATGTATGAAATATTTGCCACTACTCGTTCAGGAAATATCAATAAAACAAATTCCATGCATGAAACGGAAATTACCGAAAATAGCCATTGGATATATTGCATTAACGACAACTTTATATGATATTGAAATATCATGCATTTTGTTTACTACGATTCACCAATTAGAATGAAATAATAATGATTTGATAAAAGTAAATCATTTCGGAATCGTTATGATATATATGAGCCTGCAAGCCAACAATATAAGCTAAACAGTTTGTATTGTCTTAATATCTTTCCTATTGATGTGTGATGCTCGATATTCTGGACCACACAAACTATTTGCATTGACAATCATAACAGTATTGTAAACGTTTGAAGTGCATGATGCGTTATTTTAAGGTATTATGTTCAATCAAATACAGAAACACTGGGACAAGCGAACCATAAATATATTTTGTAAAATACCAACAAAACTGACAAAACCGTCTTGGAGGACACAACGTATCCAAATTTGATCCTATGGGAGAAAAAAAAATCCTATATGACAAATTTTATCCTAAGGTAGAACAAAAAATCCTACAGGACAAAATTCATCTTAAGGTAGAGAAAAAATCCGGTAGGAGAAAAAATATCTATATGGGAGAGAAAACATCCGACAGGACAAAATAAATCCCTTAGGAGAAAAAATAATCTTAAGGGACATTTGTTTCTCAGAAAAAAGTCTTTCATGATAATCCTATAGGATAAAAAAAAATCCCATCGGATTTAACATTTTTTTTGAAAATCCTACAGGATTTTAAATCCCGTAGGATATTAGTTTTATCCCATAGTGATCTCTTAATTGGAGTGAATAGTATTGAAATGCTTTAAAAGAATATTATATGTCCATTAATTTTTGCTTTTAAATCACATTTTCTGATTCATATATGTTATAGCATCAATATATATATGTTGTGTACAAGTTATCATTTTGTACAAATTATAATTTGTACAAAAAAATTGTACAAATTATAATTTGTATTTTGACTCTGTAAAAATTGTAATTTGTACAAAAAGTGCGTGTACAAATTACAATTTGTACAAAATTTGACTAAAATTCACTTATAACTTGTACAATAATTTATCGCGTGGATTTTGTGATAAAAAAAGTATTGATACACACTATGGAAACTTTTCAATACAATTTTTCAAGTCATATTGACTCGTGTATATTGCCTTGAGGTTATAAATTGAACTCCTGTTCACTGATCTTTATATCTTTATATATGTAAGAGAATGATAATCCCTTTCTTCATGAATAAGTACGAGCGTTAGCGAGTACTTATCATGAAGTAAGGGATTATCATTCTCTTACAAACTTAGAATATTGTAAAGTGCTCAAGGCTCAAATGATCTATTCAAGAATTAGTTTCATTGTCAGTGCAATGTTTATAATTGATGCATGACTTCCTTTTTCGGCATGTCATTTATGGATAAGTTTTAGTGATGTGAGGACTTTCTTATCATTTGGGAAATATTTAAAAAAAAAATGTGTTATAGATATTAGGTGATACAACAGTAGAAAGAAAATGTAGGAATTGTATGTTTCCTGATTGTGAGTATGAATGTAAATCATGTAATATTTTAGTGAGGAATTACCCTTTTTTATTTACAGTTTAAATCAATTAATACATTTAAGTTACACCTAAATTTTATTTCACATCCAATAATTTGGTCCAGCTTTTTACATAAAATACTGTTTCATTATGTCAGGGAAATGTTAAAAAATAATGCCCTTAAAAGTTTTTTTTAAATATGTTCAAAATTAAATTCCTGTTTTTTATCGCAATACATGTATTGGAAATAACTATTCTCCCCAACTCTGATCAAGTAATCAAAGTTTTGGAAAGCTAAAGATTTAGGTTATTTTTTATCTGAAAGATTTTTTTTCTTTTTTTTTTTTCATTGCTTTGGTATTGTTTAATTTTATAGTAATTTGAAGTTATTAATATTTTCATAATAAAATTCACGGTACCAATTTTACCGCACCAGTAAACTTCAACTTATTTTGAGATTTTTGTTTGTTTCACAATTCAACTTTTAGTCAGTTTCAATCACTGTGTGATAAATCCTTTCAATCTGATAATATGCTTCGGGGCAGTTGTAACTCATTTATAGAAACTCTTTGTTTTGAACTGTAAATAGACCCAAATAATAGGATAATCCCTTACTGAGAACATGATTTACATTCATTCTTCACAATTAAGAGGCATTCAATTCTACAATTTCATTGGTCGAGAGTACTTTGCTATATTCTAAATTCCCACAAAGCCAATGCATTACATCGATACAGAGATAAACTGGTCTTTCAAATGGTCATTTACAAAATTAAAAGTTAAAGTGTTCACTAAAATGGCTAGTATTGTTGATCAACAGGATAAATTCTATCAAGCAGTTCAGCAATTGTGTCTGAAGGTTTGCGCTTTGTGGATCAACTAGTACAACTATTAATGTTGTATCATAGGAAGTCGAAAAAGGGCATTGTCTGGCCAACAAATTCAAGCGGATGTCCTAACAAGAAATACAAAACAGAAACTGAGCAAGTTATCTGTTGGAGACAATGTCCCAATTCCACAGTATGACTGAGCACCGAACGATCCGAGTAATATACAAGGTGTTGTTGTGGAAGTAGGAAATGTTGGCTATTGTGTAGGGACAATAGCTGGTAATATATCAGGAGTCTTAAGCAGAAACCAACTAGAATCAATTAATGACTCTTTTTTTGTCTGTTACACAATTTCTTGATTTACAACTTTCCCTGAGGGAAGCTGTCAAAAAAATTTCAAAAACTGGTGGGCAGGGTTATCTCTCTTGCAAATTAAGGCGATTGTAACAATTCGAATTGTAAATGCAAAAATCAGAATGTATTGTGTAATTCGAGGTGTCATGGTTCGCACTTCTGCTCCAACAAATAAGAGCATTGTTTATTATGTATAGTATTGTAAATGGAGTTATCAGTGGGTTTCATATTGATTCATAATTAAAATTAAAATTATTTTTTATCATTTGATTTGAAACTTATTTTATGTAAAATATTGTACAAGTTATAAGTGAAATTAAGCCTTATTTTGTACAAATTATAATGTGTACAGGCACTTTTTGTACAAATTACAATTTGTACAAAGTCAAAATACAAATTATAATTTGTACAATTTTTTTGTACAAATTATAATTTGTACAAAATGATAACTTGTACACAACATATATATAAGACACCATATGTGCAAACAGTTCATGCTAATTAGGGTTATTTGAAAATCTTACAATTTTGTATATATTTATTTATGTTATTTATTTATAGATATATACATCAAGTCAACATCTTTAGTTATCATATTGTTAGATTATTACAGAAATGATTTGAAATTTGAAGAAAAAAAAATTATAATTGCTCCTTAATTCACAACAAATGTCATCAAATATACCAAAAATGCCTTGCAAAGTTACATCATCCCTATCATTTGATATTAGCATCAGTGTTAATTGTTAATAATTCCAATAAAAATATAGGCACATCCCATGACAAACGAAAATACAAATGCCACCAAGCCTAATCTATCTAAAACTAAAGCATAGTGTATCCATAGTTCTGAATTGTCTGTGTCTTTTTCACTTTCAGATGCTCTCTCTACTGCCTTCTCCTTTGAAGCTCTATTTTCGTCCAAAGTGTTGAACAGCTTGGAAATGATTTTGTCCTTTAAGAATAAGATAATTAGAGATATGAACTAGACATAGCATGAACTATTGCGATTGATCAGATTTGGGCCATTTAATCAATTTCCTCGAGTATGGAGGGTGTTACACGTTTAGAAAAATTACAACAGCTAACGGCATTTGAAGTATCATGTTTCTATGTTATATTGAGAAATAGCTGATGAAAACATAGTAATAGTTATCTTCCTGATAAATTTAGCAAAAAGAATTTGTCGAAACTGAATATGGTAGACAAGTAGCCAAAGTAATTCAAAAATTGAAGCATGAGATGTAAGCCAAGTTCAATGAAATATTTTATATTCCAGACGCAATGCAACATATCTTATAGAAAGCTGTCTATTTTTGGAGAGTGCATGCTGACCTACATATTTGGCTTGGTTTTTTGTGATGAGAAGAAGGGTGTCGGCGAGGAGCTGTCTCATTTGCGTATATATTCGATTCAATATAATACTAAGAAAAAAAGTTAGAAAAATTGGCTTTTAAAAACAGGCTTAAATAGTAAATATCTTTGACAGGGCCCATAAAACCTAATATTATAAACACTTTTTGGATTAATCAACAAAACACAAAGTAGCGATAAATATGTCTGTCATATTTGTTTTTCGCAAATTGTTTTGTTATAAATTAGGCCGTTAGTTTTCTCAATTGAATTGTTTCATATTTTTCAAGTCGGGGCCTTTTATAGCCGACTATACGGTATGGGTTTTTCGTTTTAACTTTGGTGGATAGTTGTCTCATTGGCAATCATAACACATCTCCTAATTTTTATATAAAGTAAGCTTGAGGGAAACATACGGTTTACCAACCCATCATCAAATCCAAAGTTTCACTTTTTATTTGAAAATATGTAATCATCAAAGGTGTAAAAATATTTTAAAAAAATTGTTTCGGCTACAACCATTTGTCTAATAATAATACAGAAGCTGCTTAATGGTTGGACAACAAGTTTACGTATTTCTGTCATTGGTTTTCAGGATAAAATAGTAAGTAGAAATTTACTAATGATATGTGCATTTTACATGCGTTTAAAAACAAGTATTGAATAATGAATAATATCAAGACAGGAGATTATTCAACAAATTGTATTATTGTATCCCGAACAGCTAGACAGACGTCCCACTTTAGCAAGGGTTTCACTGCAGAACAGGAACAGTCCAAGGAATAGCATATTATCCGAGTCAACCCTTGAAGTTTTATTTTTGGAAGCCTGCTTGTCGATTGGCTTTAAAGAAGTCATAGGGTATATAATAAATCATGATTTATAATTTGTTGACACTCTCCTGCATAAAGAATCAGTAGTATCACTAAATTGCGTATACATTGCCTAAAGGAAATCCGTCCACAGCATTCCGATTAAAAATGAAACGTTATTGGTGCAAACATTTCCGTTTTTTTTTTGTATGAAAAAATGATAAATTGACACCTATGGTCCTCCACCCTTTGCCAACCCTTGATATTTCATTTATCAGAATTATCAAAGAACATGAAAAGAAATCATCGTAAATATACATCAAAAACTAGTACACATTTTTGTTTAGGGGCCGGCTGAAGCACGCCTCCGGGTGCGGGATTTTCTCGCTGTGTTTAAGACCCATTGATGGCCTTCGGCTGTTTTCTGCTCTTTGGTCGGGTTGTTGTCTCTTTGACACATTCCCCATTTCCATTCTCATTTTTTATCAAACCTTTTGGCTAAAGACGTTATAGAATTTAACAAATTGCATCGACATTGAAGGCATTATGTTGACCGTTGATGTAATTTTTTTAGTTATCTGTGTCCGGGCCCATTTCATTGCTTTCTCATTAGCGTTTCCTCTATATCTCTTTTTTCGTATTTGACAAAAAAATCTCAAATCAGTGTTTGCATTAATGATCATGAACCTAAATAGTAGCATATTAACGAATTGATAAAATAAACTATTTCAAAATCAGAATCCTCATTACAAATAAAAGTGAAATCCTACAGAAGTAGATGTAAAACAAGTACTATACTGAGACATAAATTACATTCTAATGTCATTATAAAGTTATATTACCTGATTCCAGGATGTTTTATATCTGTTTTGTATCTTTGGCAGCTTTACACGCGTGATAAACGCAAGAGGTTTTAATAGGTAACATTTTGTGAATCGTGACATCGTTCTATCTCCTCTGTGGTGGATATTTAAAACCATTACTTGCCATAATGATGATCCACCACTTAGAATTAGTGTAAAGCTAAAAAACATGGCTGAAATAAGAAAACACATGATCATACAAATCATTTATTCATTTATATCACAGGGATATTTTGATATACATATTTTTTTAACAATTGGCAATTTTCATGTCGACGCACCCGATCTCGCTCCTTTTGAAGTTTTGTTTTTGTATCTTTCTAATAGATTTATGAGATTTGAACATCACTTATTTAATGTTGCCTCTAATTCATGTAGGTGCATCGGTGGCCGAGTATTGCATCTAGCCTGTCAGCACTGAGGTTGTGAGTTCGAACCCCGCACGTGGTAGGTTCAGTCGACTCTAATCTTAACTGACTAGGATTGCCAGTTTCCCTGCCTAAGGTCGGTGGTTCTCTCCGGGCACTCTAGCTTCCTCCACCAATACAAACTGGTCGCAATGATAGCCAAATATGGCTATCTATATTGGTTTTAAGATGGTGCATCTCTCTGAGGCAAAGTTGGTCTCTTCAAAACTTTATTGGACTTGATGCTCTCAAACTTGTTTGTCATGTTTTTCTCTGACTGTTAATGACGTCTTTACACTAAATCCATTGGATGTTGGATGTGTACTAATTAACAATTTAGTCTTTTTTTTATTAGTTGTTAATGGCTTTGAACTAGCTGTCAGTAACTGCGGGTACTCTCAGATCTGTACCAAGTGTCCTTTTTGCTGTTAGGGATGAGGGATGGATAAATATCCTGCCACGTCCGGCCCGTGTTTATGTTTGATGTTTTTCTGCTTTGTATTGATTTGATGAGTTGAGCCTTTTTCAACTGATTTTTATAGTTTGTTCTTATGCTGTGCTGTTACACCACTGTCCCAGGTTAGGGGGAGGGTTGAGCGCTCACAAACATGTTTAACCTCGCCACATTCTTTATGTGCCTGTCCCAAGTCAGGAGCCTGTAGTTCAGTGGTTGTCGTTGGTTCATGTCTGTCATATTTGTTTTTCGTAAATTGTTTGTTATAGATTAGGCCGTTAGTTTTCTCAATTGAATTGTTTCATATTTTTCATGTCGGGGCCTTTTTATAGCCGACTATACGGTATGGGTTTTTCTCATTGTTGAACGCCGCACGGTTGCCTATAATTGCTTACATCCACTTCATTTGAACTTGAGTGGATAGTTGTCTCATTGGCAATCATACCTCATCTCCTTATTTTTATATTGGTATATAATGCCTTGGATTTTTGTCTCATACAGATTTCAATATACTAAGTATTTCTGTTTATGATAATGTAATATGATGCATTCTAATTGCATTCTTTAAATTAGTCTCTTTTCTCTTTTATCGTTTGTGCAATTTAAGTTGCTCTATTGTATATATAATTTAGGTTATTTTTCGTCTACAAAGATTACTTAAAATGATTTCCTAAAAAAGATAAAAGAATAAGATAAAGATATGTTCATCGACAACATGAAATACAATATACAAAACGTGTTTACAGCGTTTCAAATTATTTTATTTCTCTAAGACTGATGTAAAGTTTAAATTACTCACCAATCCATGGAGTGGAATCAGCAGATGGTGGCAACTTGTCAGCAACAAGCAACTGAAAAACAGACATCGCCAACATAACCGTTAATTCTAATCCAACCTTCTCGCCGGAATCAACAGGTAGTAAAAATCCAAACGATGCCACCATTGTAATCAAAATCGATGGCACTATTATATTTGTTACGTAATAAGCAGGTTTTCTTTTCAAGTGAATATAAAAAGTCACATCTACAAAGGGCCCCGGACAGCAACCGTAATATACTTCGTGTCTTACGACTGGTGCTTTTTCAATTATCCATTCAACATTTTCTTTCATGGACGATAAATCGCCTGCAATGTCCTTAGATTGAATATCTAGTTGTAAACCATTGTATGACCACGATCCAAACATTAACTCGCATACTTGACTGTCGAAAGGGAATTTGGCGACGTCAATAGGACACAAAGCTTCGATTTTGGTTGGGAAGTTGTAAGTGACATAACCATCCGCATTAATAAGAGCCCTGTAGTCTTTGAATCCATAAAACTCCGCCGAAATGCTACAAAACATGTTTTAAATGTCAGTTGAAAAAAATGAATATTTTATGTTAATTTGTAATTGGAATGCAGAGTTATAACCTTAAATACTTTAAACCTTCATATAAGATGTGAAACAATTCTAATGAGAAAACAAACGGCTTAATTCATAACAATACAATTTACTAAAACCAAATATGACAGACATGAACCAATGACAACCGCTGAATTACAGGATCCTGACTTGGGACAGGCACATAAAAAATGTAGCGCGGTTAAACATCTTTTTGAGCGCTCAACCTTTCCCTGACTTGGGACAGTGGTGTAACAGCATCCATATGAGAAAGTTTAAATATCAGTTGCAAATGGCTTAACTCAATAGATCGGTACAATGCACAAAACAACAACTAACATAAGAACGATAGCCACAAAGCACCGATGTAAAGAGAGGCGAAAGATACCAAAAGGGATAGTCAAACTCATAAGTCGAAAACAAACTGACAATGCCATAGCAAAAAGAGAAAAACGATAAAAAGACAAACAACACAGAACATAACATACAAAACTATCGACTGGGCAACGTAAGAAAATTCGCAGTTACTGAAAGTTAATTTAAAGTCAATTACAACTTCTAGATAAATCATGTTCTCCAAGATACCATGCACTAGAAATACCAGAATGTATTTCCAGATAAAGAATTTGAAAACTTACAGAATAATTTTGCCAGTGTAGGAATTAATACCCGTAACGTCATAAAATGGGTTTATGTATGTATTAACGTTTCGGTTGTGTTTATTGATAATCTAACTCTTCTTTGGCTACAAAATAATCTCGTTTATGTACACCATAAGCATTCACTCGACAAATTAGAGTAATATCAGGTGGTTCTACATATGGGTAGCACTATGTATTTACCTACTCATAAAGTGTAACATCAGGTTTCCATCTAAGGTCTATGGTTAGCACTTTGTATTTACCTCTCATAAAGGGTAACACCAGGTTTCCATATAAGGTCTATGAGTAGCACTATGCATTTACCTCTCATAAAGGGTAACACTAGGTTTCCATATAAGGTCTATGGGTAGCACTATGTATTTACCTCTCATAAAGGGTAACATCAGGTTTCCATATAAGGTCTATGAGTAGCACTATGCATTTACCTCTCGTAAAGGGTAACACCAGGTTTCCATATAAGGTCTATTGGTAGCACTATGTATTTACCTTTCATAAAGGGTAACATCAGGTTTCCATATAAGGTCTATGGGTAGTTCTAAGTATTTACCTTTCATAAAGGGTAACATCAGGTTTCCATATAAGGTCTATGGGTAGTACTATGTATTTACCTCTCATAAAGGGTAACATCAGGTTTCCATATATAGTCTATGGGTAGCACTATGGAGTCTGTACCGTTAAAATCGTCAGGATTCCATCTGAGATTGCAATCTATCCATCCCTAGCAACATGACAGAAATTAACATTAACAAGTATAGTTACATTAAAAAAAATAATGTTTAAATAATGCATTCTCTTTCTTCGTCATTTAGATTTAATTGGTTAAATACATGAATTAATCATTGACATATTGAATTTGACATCAATAAACTCACCAGTCGCATCCACATGTTGAAGTGTACCAGTTGCTCTGGTTCATCCTATAACAAGAATGAAAAGAAGTACTTATAGACAATGATCAACTTATGTAGCAACGAAACGTTTTAATTTCGTTAAATATTGACTGCTCTAAAATATACTTTTCGAAAATTTCTAAGACCTTTCTACTTTTTGTTTCTCTATTGTTGCTATGAACTGACTTATTTGACAATTGAATTACCAGCCACAACGTACCTGTAATTATATGAGTATTTGTTCTTATTCAAATAAATAATGAGGCATCATAATGTCATGTGATATCAAGATACATTGTGTGTTCACTGTATGTAAATATTGAGGCATCCTGATGTCTTGTGATATCAAGATACATTGTGTGTTCACTGTATGTAAATATTGAGGCACCGTGATGTCTTGTGATATCAAGATACATTGTGTGTTCACTGTATGTAAATATTGAGGCACCGTGATGTCTTGTGATATCAATACACATTGTGTGTTCACTATATGTAAATAATGAGGCATCATGATGCCGTGATATCAAGATACATTGTGTGTTCACTATATGTAAATAATGAGGTATCATGATGCCGTGATATCAAGATACATTGTGTGTTCACTATATGTAAATAATGAGGCATCATAATGTCATGTGATACCAAGATACATTGTGTGTTCACTATATGTAAATAATGAGGCATCGTGATGTCATGTGATATCAAGATACATTGTGTGTTCACTATATGTAAATATTGAGGCATCATGATGTCTTGTGATATCAAGATACATTGTGTGTCCACTATATGTAAATATTGAGGCATCATGATGTCATGTGATATCAAGATACATTGTGTGTTCACTATATGTAAATAATGAGGCATCATGATGCCGTGATATCAAGATACATTGTGTGTTCACTATATGTAAATAATGAGGCATCATAATGTCATGTGATACCAAGATACATTGTGTGTTCACTATATGTAAATAATGAGGCATCGTGATGTCATGTGATATCAAGATACATTGTGTGTTCACTATATGTAAATATTGAGGCATCATGATGTCTTGTGATATCAAGATACATTGTGTGTCCACTATATGTAAATATTGAGGCATCATGATGTCATGTGATATCAAGATACATTGTGTGTTCATTGTATGTAAATAATGAGGCATCGTGATGTCATGTGATATCAAGATATATTGTGTGTTCACTATATGTAAATATTGAAGCATCATGATGTCATGTGATATCAAGATACATTGTGTGTTCACTATATGTAAATAATGAGGCATCATGATGTCTTGTGATACCAAGATACAGTGTGTGTTCACTATATGTAAATAATGAGGCATCATAATGTCATGTGATATCAAGATACATTGTGTGTTCACTGTATGTAAATATTGAGGCATCATGATGTCTTGTGATATCAAGATACATTGTGTATTCACTATATGTAAATATTGAGACATTATGATGTCTTATGATATCAAGATACATTGTGTGTTCACTATATGTAAACATTGAGAGCGGAAAAAAAAATTGTTTGGTGGAGACTTTCACCCGTGATATGAAATAAAACAATGTAACAAAATAACATTTCAGTGCTTTTTTACAAACAGAAATCATTGTTAATATACTATCTTATGGCTTGTTAGAATGATTATTAGGTTATATATTTAAAGCAATTGCTCAGGTGTGTCAAGTTTACTACGTGCCTTGCATATTAAGTTGGAAAAACAAAACTCAAGGCATCTCTGACAATGATTGAAACAATACTTTTAAAATGTGATCACGAAAGAAATAGACCTACAAGCGATATAAGTTGACGAATAGCAATATCCACAGTCACATTAACTTTCTCATAACCTGGACACAAGGGTCGAACTCCTGCTCCGTAATTTGCAAGTAGTGAAGTTGAAAGATTATTTAGTACTGACGATGAACCTAATAAAAAAAAATAATGGTTTATATAAATTTTCTGTTTTTAAGTTTTCAAATATTTTGACTATGTTGTTAATTTTACAAATCATATTTGACATTTCTAAGATCTATTATTACATATTTCTATTACTCTCATAAAATATGAATTATTCAGCGTAACCGATGAAATATTTTACAGAAACTGTGTTGTGTGCAGTTGATTTCATTTGAAAATGACATTTGACCTTGTTGTTGGTGTAGCCTGTTGTTTTGTAGTTATACTGAATAACATTTTTCCTGTTTTAAAGCAACATTATTTTCTACTTTTTAAGCCCGTCTATTTTGTCGTAAAACTAACTTCTCAACTGACCCTCATCGTCGACTTCTATGTAAAATTATGGCATAGAGGATCTATTATATATAATATATAATGACGGAAGATAATACTAATATATAACATAAATATAACAGAGTTTCAAGAATGTGACATTCCTTTGGTTGAAACAAGATCCAGCAAGAGAATAAAGTTAGTTTTATCGTTTATCTTGTTTTTATACATCTTTTTGAACTAAGAGTAGAATAAAAAAAATATGTAAGAATAAATTAAACTATACTTCAAATTCTACTCCGTGCTCGTTCCGGGCGTTACTTTACATGTACTTACCATAAGTAACAGTTCCTTTAGAATCATCGTCAGTGTTGTCCTTAATAATCTTGCCTGATCCTACAGTATGTTACAATCAATTGTATATGTTTATGTAATAGTATGAAGGGTTTTGAAAAAGTTCATGAAAGTTGATAAGTGCGACGATACCGATAGAACATGTTATTCATTTAGTTTAGACATTCTAGTTGTCAGTAACTACGAGCACTTTCATGTCTGTACTTTGTGTCATTTTTGTTGTGAGGGATGTATATATTCCCTGCCACGTCCGGTCTGTGTTTTGTTAGATATTTTTCTGCTTTGTATAGATCCGATGAGTTAAGAACTTTTCGACTTATTTATATAGTTTTATATCCCACCGTTCCATGTTAAGGGAGGGTTGGCGCCTACAAATATGCTTACGTGCCCGGAAATTTAGAAACGATCCTGGTAAACTTACAGATCCTTTAAATAATCTTATTCTAAAAGGTTACCAATTCAACACTGTAATTAGATCTTTGAATATTGCTTTTATTGGTGTATTAATATTGATTTTGTTATCAGTAAATTAAAAGCAGTACATATAATGCATACATGTATAGAGACAAAATTTACCATCCATGCTCCTACCTTCTGATTCTTACCAGGAAAATTTGTCAACGAAATCGATATTTGTGTTGTTATTGTATAATGATATGTTTTATATCTTTTATTTTGATAATTCTGCATTTAAAGTACAATGTACCATGACTTTAAATTAATCGAAGGCTAGGAATTCAAAATTATCAATTTCGTTGACTTCGTATGATAAGGAAAACCATAGATTCAGGTTTACAACAAACTTATATTTTACTTTAGACTGCTATGCCTACAGAATTTGTAAAACCACGAAACTTAGTGTCCACAGATATTCTTTTTATCCTCAATCCACGTAACTAAATCAATCTACATTGCACATAGTTTCCAACGTAGTACATTTCAGTTGATTTATATCTTTGTTTTTTCTTGCAATTAAAGTTTGAAAGAAGATTGTCTTTTGAATGTAAAAAGAAAAGGAGTTTGAAGCTAGATGATATAGCTTTTGTTCTGTTTGATAGATTCAACGGTCAAAGAAGTGCACTGAAACATACAGGAAATATAAAAAAAGTTTAGATTAGGGCGATAGTTTGAATTGTTTCACATTTTTCATGTCCATGGTAGGTATAGTGTCCGGCTAGGCTCGTGGTTTTTCGAGTGATTTGATCGGGTTTTGTTCGAGTGTGACCACTTTATTTCGAGTTAATATGATCAAAAATGTAAACAAACAGACTTCCTTTCTGACAAGACGTGATATAGAAGCTTAAGTTTAATATACACGGTTATGCAAGGTGTGTTAGTATTTGAGATAAAAAGATATTATTGATCCGACATTATTTTTCGTTAAAAAAGTTCAATTTAGCCTTACAATGCTTTTATTCCAAAATACAGAATAAAGCTATTTTTATACACTTACCAATGCAAATGTCGAAGGAAATGCATACATGGAATCTATATATCCTTAGATATACAGACACTTTACAAAAATTCTTGTTATTGCATTGAAAACGACATTTTGAGACTAAATTCATTTATATATGTCCGTGTTTTTTCGAAAGCAGTCCGGGCTTTTTCGAGTGCGTTCGTGTTTAATCGAGTGGTTATACAAATTTCCTATAGCTTTAAATGTTATGTGTCAGTGTATTTACCTTTAAAAACAATAAAAAAGGTTCAAATTAAGTACTTTTCAAGGCACGAAACCAATGCATTCATCAGTTTGATAATCAGTTTGCTTACACTTACATTCTATAAAGAAGTATCCTTCATTTGTATATATTGTTGTTTGTCACATCTTATAAATTACACGTACAGTATATATTCGTGATGTCAACAATCAAATGTAAGCATAGTCAATTTGGATTGAGACGTACATACATATACCATCTTGACAAGCATAATATACTTGTGGACTTCCAGCATGGCTTCAGAAGCAAAAGATCTTGTGAGTCACAACTAGTCATAACAGCAGAGGACATAACTAGAAATCTGGACAATAAGCAACAGGTAGATATGCTTATATTAGACTTTAGTAAAGCATTCGACACAGTACCACGCCAGCGTTTGTTGAAGAAACTTGCATCATATGGTATCGATGGAAACATACTTGCCTGGTTAGAAGCATGGTTGACACAAAGAGAACAACAAGTCACACTGGAAGGGGAAAGATCAAGTACTGCTAAAGTAACATCTGGCGTACCACAGGGAACAGTTTTAGGACCATTGCTGTTTCTCCTATACATAAACGACATAGGGAACGACATAACATCAAAAATTCGCCTGTTTGCAGATGATAGCTTACTATACCTAGCAATATCAACAAAGGACGACTGCAAACATCTACAAGAAGATCTTGACAAAATGGTAAAATTGACCAAAGTTTGGCAAATGATATTCAATCCTTCAAAATGTTATGTCCTTACAATAACCAAAAAGAGACAAACCATCAACTTCAATTACAACATCAATGGACATATCCTGGAATCAGTCGCATCAAACCCATACCTAGGATTTGAACTTACCAACACAATGTCATGGGACAAACAAGTTAACAAAGTAGTCACTAAAGGAAACAGAGCACTAGGCTTCATACGAAGAAATGTTGGATCCTGTCCAGAGGAAGTCAAGAAACAAGCATATCTTGCCCTTGTCCGACCTCACCTTGAATACGCTTGCAGCGCATGGGACCCTCACCTACAAAAACATATATACCAGATTGAGATGGTCCAGCGCCGTGCAGCACGCTTTATCAAAAGCAACTACTCAAGAGAGCCTGGAACAGTTAAAACTCTTTTAGAAGAATTGAAACTGACACCATTAGAAACTAGAAGAAAAATAGCACGTATAACGCTCTTTCATAAAGCCATCCATGAAAAAGTTGCTATACCTATTCCATCGCACATTTTAAGACCTAGAAGAACTTCGAGACTCCATCAACCGAACACAAAAAGATATGTACAAATCAGGCCAAACAAAGATATTTACAAATACAGCTTTTTTCCGAGACTGGAATAAACTACCAGATGAACTATTAGAGATTGAGAGCAGTGAGGAATTCAAGACCAAACTCACCAAGCTTCTCTGTAGTGGCTAATAAACACAAACAAAAGATAGATGATGTTTTTAACCTGCACCTGTACATAAATTTTGAGCACAATTTGGAACTATTGTTAGTAAATGTTATATAGAAGGTTTTTTGTCATGTTGGAGGACGTCAAAGTTAAATTTATACTTGAGTGATGGGTCAAAGTACCCTTTTCGAGTGACGACATAGCGAAGATGTAGATGTAGATGTAGATGTAGATGTGTTAAGCTGATGAACTATTCATTTTATTGTTAATTATATATGAAATTTTATTGAAATTTTATTGTCAATAGGAATAAAAACGGATCAGATTAAGTGTGTGTGTGTTTTTTTTTTTTTTTTATTAATGGATTTTTTTTTGTGAGGCGGAGGGCAGGCCTCTTTTAATAGAATATTTTTTATAACATAGCATTTTTCTGATTCTTCACTGCTGTCCTGTAGGTTTCTTACTCCTTTTTTTAATAAACAGCTGCGCCATGAGCGCATGATACGCCCTTCGCGATTTTAAAGAATAAAGTTCAATAACTTCTCAATGTCATATCAGAAATTTATGAAAAACTAAAGGTAGTTTATCTTAATCTAAGTCACCAAAGTTTCATGAAAACTGCCCAAAGCACTTTAAAAATATTGTCCGAAAACTGGAAAATCACCCCTTTTTTGTTTAATAAAATCCCACAACTCGGAAACGTAAAATCTAAAATTTATAAAAATCGAAATGGAGCTTACCTCAATAGATATAAACAATTCACCGAAGTTTCATGGAAATTGGTTAAAGCGTTTTTGAGTTATTGTCCGACATGCTGACGACAGACGGACAGACGGACGGAAGGACGGACAAAGGTATACCGTAATACGTCCCGTAAACGGGCGTATGAAAACTCCGATGTTCACCATGAAAAATGTTATTAACTGTGACAACAAAAGTAGCATGCAATGAAGTTGAAAAGATTATGAGTCCCCTGCACTATGTTCTTAAGACCGTTTTATAAAAGATCCAGTAATTTCTAATTTAATACTGGAAAGTTTTGCATTTAATTGAAAAGGGTTAATTTTGATCAACGTAGTAATATGTTTTTGTGATTTATTGAGAATATATGATATTGTCCTTCACTTAATTACAGTTATAAACTAGAAAAAGTAATTTTTTAAAGTCAAGAATACCTTTTTTTTATTCAAATTTTCTTTAAAAAACCCGGATCATTTGTTGAAAAACTCGGACGGTTTCACAGTTGCTCTCGAAAAAATCCGGACAATATTAAACACTGAATTTTTTGGTTAAATACAAGGAAATTGTGCTTCTTTGTTGCTCAAAACATGTATAGTATTCAAAATAAGATGGATTTTCATGTAAAAAACTATTATAATTACCAAATAGAAGTTAATTGACCTTATAGCATGTTTTATCACTCGAAAAAAAAACCATCTACACTCGAAAAACCACGATCCTAGCCGGACACTATACCTACCGTGATGTCGGGGCCTTTTTATAGCTGACTTTACGGTGCGAGTTTTTTCCATTGTTGAAGGCTGAACGATGACCTGTTATTGCCTTATCTTCTTCATTTGAACTATGGTGGCTAGTTGTCTCATTGGCAATTCTTATTTTTTTTACTATCCCACTTACTTCATATTTGTTTCATATTTTTCATGTCGGGGCCTTTTAAATAATTTATGTTCATTCTATGTTGTCTACATGAAACAATTCAGGACAGAGATGCAACTTATCTTTTAGATTTATCTTTTTTGTTTCAAGAACGCTCCGCCAAAATGTTAAGAAAAAAATCAACGATAGAATTTTTACTGCACTTATGTGTAGACGCAAAAATATTTTCAAATTCTTTATTTCACTAAGTGTATTATAATTCAGGATATAATTATTCAGTTTAACCTTAAAGTTGTAACAGTGTGTTATTGCCATGTATCAAGGGAACATTTTACAACAAAAAAAAAACCGGTTAAATTATGAATTTTCGTTCTAAAGTATTGCTACTTTCCTTAAAAGTCCTTCAATATGAAATTTCTGGGTTTTCCCTTAAAATATACAAATTTCGAACCAAAATATCTTAAAAAGTAAGTCAAGAAGGTATATTTTTCTTTGCATATTTCAAAAGTACACATTGAAATTGACCATCTATCAAAATTTCAAGAAAAAATTTGCGGAGGATCTCTACTGTATCATATGCCCTTAAGCCTTTTTCAATTGATTTTTATAGTTCGTTCTTATGTTGTACTGTTACACCACTGTAGGAGGGTTGGGATCCCGCTAACATGTTTAACTCCGCCACATTCTGTATGTATGTACCTGTCCCAAGTCAGGAGCCTGTAATTCAGTGGTTGTCGTTTGTTGATGTGTTGCATATTTGTTTTTCGTTTGTTTTTTTGTACATTAATTAGACCGTTAGTTTTCACGTTTGAATTGTTTTACATTTGTCATTTCGGGGCCTTTTATAGCTGACTATGTGGTATGAGCTTTGCTCATTGTTTAAGGCCGTACGGTGGCCTATAAATGTTAATTTCTGTGTCATTTGGTCTCTTGTGAAGAATTGTCTCATTGGCAATCATACCACATCTTCTTATTTATATTAACCTAGACACATTCATGTTATTCTAGTTCAAAGCAAATAACAACAAATACAAAAATTATGTATCTAAGACTAAAATATCAATCAGTAAGCATCCAACATCCAATGGATTCCATGTAAAGACATGTTTTACAGTCAGAGAAAAACATGACCTTGTGCAATGATAAAATGATTATGTGCCTGTCCCAATTCAGGAGCAAGTGGTTGTCGTTGGTTCAGGTCTGTCCTATTTGTTAATTAGGGCCCCGCCGAATGGCGGGTCGCCTTATAGTGATCAGTCTGTCCGTCCGTCCGTCCGTCTGTCCGTCCGTCTGTCCGTCCGTCCGTCCGTAACAAATTGTGTCCGCTCTATACCTAGAGAACCGTTAAAATTTCATACTTTATACTTGACATGTATATTAACCAACACCAGAGGGTGTGTCATAATGTTTGTACAATATCCAAGGTCAAAGGTCAAGCTCAAAAACTTTGGTTTCAGTTGACAACCCCATGTTCTATGGTAAAGATCGTGTCCGCTCTATATCTTGAGAACCGTTATGATTTCAAAGTTTATACTTGACATGTAAATTAACCAACACCAGAGGGTGTGTCATAATGTATTTACAACTTCCTAGGTCAAAGGTCAAATGTCAAGGTCAAAAACTTTGGTGTCAGTTGACAACCCCATGTCCTATGGTAAAGATCGTGTCCTCTCTGTATCTTGAGAACCGTTATGATTTCAAAGTTTATACTTGACATGTATATTAACCAACACCACAGGGTGTGTCATAATGTATGTACAATTTCCTGGGTCAAAAGTCAAGGTCAAAAACTTTGATTTCAGTTGACAACCCCATGTACTATGGTAAAGATACAATTTTTTTACCACACGTTATTCACAGCGGGGCCTACAGAGATGGTTCCCATCTCCATGATGTCTAGTTTTTCGTAAATTTTTTTGCTATGAATTAGGCCGTTAGTTTTCTAAATTGAATTCTTTCATATTTTTCATGTCGGGGTCTTTTATAGCCGACTATACGGTATGGGTTTTTCTCATTGTTGAAGGCCGTACGGTTACCTATCATTGCTTACATCCACTTCATTTGAATTTTTGTGGATAGTTGTTTCATTGGCAATCATCTCCTTATTTCTATACTGTTTTATTTTTAGTATGGTGGGACTATGGAAGTGAGCAGGGTAATGTAACTATTCAAACAAGACTATCTTAATGCAATTTGTTAACCATTGAGTTATTGTTTATTTTTTACCGACGTGAAACTCAGATCATTTATATTTTGGAAACGCATTATCAAATTTCATATTTAAATAAAGTGATCGTAGAATTTAAAGTTTTCAGTCCGTTTTTTTTTCTTCATTTTTCGCATCTTTCAAGACCTATTTCTTAATTTAACCAAAAACTTAAAATAACGATCCTGTAAAGTAAGACGGTAGCTCCCGTAAATAAAGATGTTATGACAATAATGCACAATTGAATTGATCAATTGTAATTGTAATATATATCTGGGAGTAAATAAGATCGAATTAAAGAAAGGTTTGCTCAGTCAATATACTACTTCTTCAAATAGCAAATTACTTTTATGTGCATTAAATTATAACCCAACTTTCAGTTACCTTAACTATATCATGGCAGCCAGTTTTCAGTTACCCTAACTATATCATGGTAGCAAGTTTTCAGTTACCCTAACTATATCATGGCAGCCAGTTTTCAGTTACCTTAACTATATCATGGCAGCCAGTTTTCGGTTACCCTAACTATATCATGGTAGCCAGTTTTCAGTTACCCTAACTATATCATGGCAGCCAGTTTTCAGTTACCCTAACTATATCATGGCAGCCAGTTTTCAGTTACCCTAACTATATCATGGCAGCCAGTTTTCGGTTACCCTAACTATATCATGGCAGCCAGTTTTCAGTTACCCTAACTATATCATGGTAGCCAGTTTTCGGTTACCCTAACTATATCATGGCAGCCAGTTTTCAGTTACCCTAACTATATCATGGCAGCCAGTTTTCAGTTACCCTAACTATATCATGGCAGCCAGTTTTCAGTTACCCTAACTATATCATGGCAGCCAGTTTTCGGTTACCCTAACTATATCATGGCAGCCAGTTTTCAGTTACCTTAACTATATCATGGCAGTCAGTTTTTATTGTTATAGGATTTCGAGGTAATCGGAGAGAACAACCGTCCTTCGACAGGAAAACCGGCAATCCTTTGTTAATCAAGATCGGAGTCGAACACAATTCATCACGAGTGGGGTTTGAAGGCTAGTAGTGATTATTGTAGATGAATGGAATAATTTGAACATATCAGTTCGAAATGTAGACTCATTATCAAAATTCAAAGTAGAATTAAAAAAACACGACATTCGAAATGAGAATCAATCTAAACATTATTTATATGGTCCAAGAAAATTGAATATAATATTAACCCAATTTAGATGCTCGGCATCCTTCTTGAATTGTGACTTGTTTAGAGCTAACATAATATCTGATCCAACATGTAAATGTGGTTTGGATATTGAGGACATGCACCATTTTTTCTTTGATTGTCCTTTATATCTAAATGAAAGGGCTATTCTTTTTAATGGTCTCAGCTGGCTTCCCGAAGGCTGCGAGTTGGACTTAAAACTATTGGTTTTTGGAAAAGAAACTCTGGCCTATGATCAAAATGTGCAAATTGTTAAACAAGTATTCAATTTTATAAAGAGATCAAAACGATTCCTCGTAGTATAGTATCAGCATAGGTAAAACGCACATCATCATCATTATCATCATCATCCTAATCTCTGTCGTTCTTTCCACATTCCCTCTCCTTTTTTCAGTATAGTTTAGTAATATTTATGTTAACTTGTTTATATTATATGATGCATGCTCATGTTCAATTTGTATTGTTATATATATTGTATTGTGGAGAAGACTTTATAAGTATGTTTTACTTGTGTCTGATCCTTTTTTGCTTTGAGCAAATAAAATATGTTTAAACTATTGTAGATGAACTTTTTACACTAATCGGCCACCGAGCGTAAGTGTAAGAATGTTATATGCAAACAAAGATGAACTTTTTCTCAAATACACGAAATATACTAATAATGAACCTCATAATAAGTAGTTGAAAAATATTAAATAATGATCACACTGTCTTGCGGTGCAGTACAAACCATTAGCAAGCTTAACCTTTAATGGTTTAAAAAGTATAAATACAACCTATTTATGTTTTCATAGTCCTATAGTCTAGTGATCATGCCTTAAGATATGGTCAAGTTAGCTCTTACGACCTATACCAGGTTTATAACTGGACAAATAAATCAGCACTTTAACCATACTAAAATCTAAATTACTACACTTGGCTAGATAAAAAAGTAAAATTACATTTTCGCGTTCGCTTTCGAAGATTCTCTACTTTTTGGCGACTTAAACATATTTTTCACATAAAAAAATTGGTTAATGTCCCGGATTTGTACTTTCATAATCATCACGACGGGTGCTATATGTGGACTAGGATCTGCTTACCCTTCCGAAGCACCTGAGATAAGCCCCGGTGTTTGGTGGCATTCGTGTTGCTGACTCTGTAGTTTTCTATGTGATGTTTAGTAGACTGTTTTGTCATGGCATTGTTAGTTCGTTTATGACTTCATATGCGTTTGATCATTCTTATGTTATCTTCCGCCTCTCTATCAAAATAACGTAAATTTCCAGTCAGAATGGAAACGACCTTTATTAACCTCTGTAGTTTAGATTTTACCCCCGTATGTATAAATGAGTTGATCGTTAGGGTTGTTTACATCTCGTGCGAGGTATAAAGTGAGGCAATTACTTAAGTTTACATTGCATTCACCTACAACTTTCCTTTACTCTTGTGTGTGAGTGTGTATATGTTAAAGGGGGTTGTTGTCTTATTGTGTCTTTGTATGCATACTTTAATTGAGAGGTGGGTATTGTTAAGGAAATTGTACAGGGACACTACTAGTATCTGCTATTTTATTTCAGTTTCGATTCCAATTTGGAAAAATATCCTGCTTTTCTGTTTCGAGTTTTCTTCAATTCATACAAAAATCAGCTGCTGTAAGTGCATTTACGCAAGAAATTATCACGCTAAAATCATTTAATTTAGAAATAACCCATCGATTAAAAAATAACGTTAAAACGGTAGAATATAGTTTTAAAAAATCATAAACACTATAATACCTTACCAAAAATATATAATTCCATCAATAGAAATAGCACAGTTCCATATTTCCCCATACTTAAGGAAATTATATTCTATGCTTGATACTCCAGCCTGTATCATCAGTGTTTTAATGCATACTCAGCTTAAAGGTTAAGATATATATAAATATGATAGACCTGTAATCCACAGCATACAAAATTTAAATTCTGCAAATGAATTATGTCCAATTATCCTGGATTACTGTTGTCATAAAATAATTACCGATGTATTTAAAATGTATTAATACATTATTAGCGGTAAACATGCAACTGTAAAGCATACTAAATTATTTGTCTTTTCAATTCATCATAGTAATTAATATCTTACACAACCGCGATTAATCAATCTATGGATTTTAAACCCGTATTTTCACTACATTTTTTTAAATCTTCATACATATCAGTCACAGCTAAAAACATTATACTTTTAGATTTGTCGAGACATATAATCTAATTTCAATATATTTTCATATTTTTAGTTAACCTAAAACAAATACGATAATTAGTTTAACGATTGAAAGCATTATTATATTACATACAGTAAGAAATGTATGATATAGGACTGCTTTTACAAATACACTTGAGAGATATATGCAGAAAACAATCCATTGACAAGAGCTTGATCAATTGATCTTGGTTCCTATAGATTGTTTACTATTGTCGCTGTTGTTCATGCATCCATCTGTCCCGAACAAGAGACAAAATTAAATGTATTGTATATTGATGGAGTAACTTGTAGACAGGTCGTGAGAATTTCCATGTGCAAATATAAAAATAAAACAATTTTGAAATTAATAATTACATGTTGTTTGATTCTTGATTTGTATAAAATTCAAAAACACACAATTAAATAGATACAGAACATTCAATATAGCATTATAGATATTTATTTTTTTACAGAGGATGACCTTGAGGTCACTCCGATGTATTGCTATCGCCTAAATTTCCATTATGCAAATTAGTTTTGGGATTTCAACCGATCTATAAAAATTATAGATCCGCGGTCATTACAAGGGAAAAAAGTGCATTTTTATACCTGCGATTCCGTTCTCCGTTCGTACGATGTTTCATCAAAAAATGGAATCATTTCAGTTGTTGATTTAGTACTGAAAATTTGACTGAATTATCTCCTTATTAAATACGGTTTTATATGTTTAATAGGTGTTTAAGAAAGAGGTCAGGTGCTCATGTTCATTCATAAAATTATCGTTCATTCATGAATTTATCGTAAAATCAAAATCACTACACAGGTCACACAGGTTGTATACGTAGTGTCAAAAGATTACCTGTATAGTATCTAAAAATAGACAAACTTAACTGACTCCCCTTACTGTAGTGTGTGATAACATTTTGTGAGGGAATTCGATGTTTGCTATACCACTGTTCATTTCAACGCACTTTATGACGATACCACTTTATCAATATGAATGAAATTTTTTGCAGTGTTTTAAGACATAATTTTACTTTAAAATCGCGTATCATTTGTGAACTATTAAATGTTTTACAAGGACGAATTTTCTGTATAAAGTCAATAATTGTGTGAACTTTTGAAGCCCAAACTTTTTATAGCCTTAAATACGCTAATGAAAGATCCGAAAACTATACCCATACAGAACGACATGTTTTTGAAATTGTAGCAAAACTTTTGGTTGACAAATTTTAATTCGTTATTGCATAAATATTAACTTGAAATATCTGTCATTTTCTCCCTACCCAGTTTACCTCTATTACTCATTATGATGTGGACTTGACATTGTTATTGAATCTTATGCAATTTGATTGGATTAAGTTATTATTAGATTACCTTCAAACTGTTCATGCTTTTTCGTACGAGTATATTGATTAAATCAGAGCGTGCATGAATGTGTACAGAAAATTAAATGACCTGCAAACTGGACACTGGACCAGTCCATATTACGTTTTATCAATGAATAGATTTTTTTTTATTTCCCAAATTACAGGGCCCATAAAGGGCATAAAATCAGATACAATTGATTTACATAATTGGTAACAACAACAATAATAGCGGCATATAAATAGATATTTAGTATATAAGCATTGGTCAGAATCAGATGAACGAAACTTAAGGTATGAAAGGTAACAATTGCCACTTTTTATCTTTTCACATAATTTTCCACATACACATTAGATAAATTATTTTTGATAGCCTATTGCGGAGAAAAAAGAGAAAGTTTACTGTATTAACGTTCTATTCCATTAAATACGCCATTTTTCGAAGATAAATGCAGAAAAACATTTATGAACGGCTACGCCAGGTAAAATTGTTGTTTATCCTAAAAAAAAATACAATTTTCAGTTTCATTAGAATATTATAATTATAATAAATCCCAAATTTATGTAGTCATTAGATAAAGTCCGTATATGTCCGATCTGCCTATTTTTGGACATCAAAAGACAATACGATCGTTTTAAGGTCAATTTCGTCTACCTCACACAATCTTGTTAGGCACTATAATGAAATGGACCTGAAATTTATTTCACATGTTTCCTGAAAATTGATAAATATCAAAGCAACATAGAGCTGTTTGTTCTAGTTCGTATAATGACAATTTAATGTCATGTTTGTTTGTGATGACCCCCCTTTTCGGGATTGCATCAGAATTATAGTTATCTCGTATCGCATGAGGATGACACATGTCAACTGAGCAATTATGTTTGGGACTTAGTTTTAAGAAATGATGTCAAAGTAACATTATGAAAATATTGTTAGTAAGCTGAAATATATATTTATTTTTTACATGTTTATGTCTTGTAAGATATTTTATTTCTGTCCCGTTTTTCAACATTAGCGTCTGGGAAGTTGAAATGTTTTAACTGAATGGTTAATTTAAATTAATTATGAAAATGGTTAAAATTAAATCAATAAAGGAAATTATTGCCCAGTTACAAACACTACCAGGGGATAATCCATAATGATTTTTTTTTTCAGTTATATGTTTCAGCACATGTATAATTAACCCCAACTTTAGCCTGGTAAACTTGTTGTCTCCTTGTAAAATATAAAACATATTTAAAATGATTTCCTGCTAAAGTCTTATATTGATATAAAGTTAAAACCGTCTTGCTTCTCGCTAGTCAACACTCCTGTCCTGTCAGGTTTAATTCTTATATATATGGATGAAAAATAAAAGTCCACAAAACATTAACATGGCAGCAATTGTTTTTACAGCCTTTAAGACTTTGATTTTTTTTTACAGAAGAGTGTCCACCATGCACTTGCATTACACTATAATAATAGTAGAATAGTATGATATACAAATAGATGAAAATTATATATACATGCAACCGTAATATTAATATAATATATAACAACAAACCAGTGTATTCTCTGGAACTATTATTATATTAGTATAATAGTCTAAGGTATACTGATTTGTATCACTACAATATAATAGTTATTACGGTGAGGTTGAATTTCCTGTCATTTATTCATCATCCAAGCACGAACTTGTATAAGAAAAAAAAATCTCTGTAAATTAACCTCAGTTTCAGGTATAGAGATGTGATCTGTTTCTATGACATGTGCTTTTGACCATCCACAAGAACCTGCGGTCATCCGATGTTCAGTACTTCAGTACTTTGATTATTTAATTAAAACTGCATTTTTACTGATAATTCATTTAACAATTTATAATTACATATCTAAAATTGATTTCAACTTATTCGATGTTTCAGAAATATATCATTTTAGTTTAAAAATATCGCGAAAAAAACACTTTCCTTACATTGTTTTTCAAACATAAAATAATGTGGGACAATCATAACTTTTGATAGCGTAAAATGTTTTGGGACAATCAGAATGTTTATAACATAATATAATGAGGGACAATCATAACTTTTGATAGCGTAAAATGTTTTGGGACAATCAGAATGTTTATAACATAATATAATGTGGGACAATCATAATTTTTAATAGCGTAAAATGTTTTGGGACAATCAGAACTGTTTATAACATAATATAATGTGGGACAATCATAACTTTTGATAGCGTAAAATGTTTTGGGACAATCAGAATGTTTATAACATAATATAATGTGGGACAATCATAACTTTTGATAGCGTAAAATGTTTTGGGACAATCAGAACTATTTATAACATAATATAATGTGGGACAATCAGACCTTTTTAACATAAAATAATGTGTGACAATAACAACTGTTTATAAAATAAGATAAGGTGGGACAATTAGAACTGTTTATAACATAAAATAATGTGGGACAAACAGAAATTTTGATAAAAAATTATGTGGGACGCTTAAAACTTTTGATCATATAAAATAATGTGGGACAATCAAAACTTTTGATTACATAAAATAATGTGGGACAATCAGAACTTTTGATTACATAAAATTATGTGGGACAATCAGAACTTTTGTATATAAAATAATGTGGGACAATCAGAACTTTTTATAACATAAAATAATGTGGGACAATCAGAACTTTTGATAACATAAAATTATGTGGGACAACCAGAACTTTTTATAACATAAAATAATGTGGGACAATCAGAACTTTTGATTACATAAAATAATGTGGGACAATCAAAACTTTTGATAACATAAAATTATGTGGGACAATCAGAACTTTTTATAACATAAAATAATGTGGGACAATCAGAACTTTTTATAACATAAAATTATGTGGGACAATCAGAACTTTTTATAACATAAAATAATGTGGGACAATCAGAACTTTTTATAACATAAAATTATGTGGGACAACCAGACTGTTTTATATATTCAATAATGTGGGACAATCCAAACTTTTGATGCGAGACGATAAATCAGGAATAAAAGTCAGCGCTCCTTAAGTTACATTCTTGTTTGTTTTCTGTACTTCATAATTAATTTTGAGCTAGTAGGGGAATAATTTGGAACACAAAAATGATTTGTGGATATTACGTCCGTTATTACCATTGGTTCGTAATGTATGCCGACTACTTCCTTCATCTTCTTTGAGGGAAAACGGTAGTATCTATTCTTCCTTAAAACCTGCACAAAACAGTTTTGTGTGAAATGTTTTAGAAATTGGAGTTAAATAGTATCATGGCAATCTTAGAAGTCAACGGAGCTTGTTTATGGTGTCCATGTCCACCGTCATTTTACATCAAAATGAAAATCTGGAAGTCTTTTCGAATAATTCTCAAGAAAATAGTTCAATATATTTCAAAATTTATATTGTAAATATACGCACTGCAGTTATTCATAAATATATAGAAAAACATATTATACACTTGCATCAACTCACACCGCTCCTAAGTTGACTTCTTTCACCTGCGGTATACACGAAAGGCCAATCTAAAAGCCGGGAAAATGTAATACTTCTTTTTTCCCTTTATGTATTCCTTCCAGTGTTGAAGCGCACACAACTAGCCGTGTTTTTAAAACATAATCGAAGAAAATCTCAACTCTTTTTAACGGGAAAGAAATCTTTCAAGTTAAGGAATTATTCAGATGATAGGTGACGGCGAATAGACATAATGATATCTACATAACCACGTTGGGCTAAAGGTACAATTTAATGATCAAATAATTAGTAGTTATGGATAGACATTCCCATTTTATATTTCCGCACTTTCTTTAAAAACTTAGGGATAACAAGTGGCAAATGTGCACCCCAATAAAACTAGAGAAAAGTTTATGTTTTCCATAAAGATAAGCGATTTCTGCTCCACTGTTCAGCCGTTCACGGTAAATTCCGATAGTAAGAAATGATATCAGATGACAAAAATCTCGGCTACAAAAAATAGACCTACTCATCCAATACATTCACGGCGGTGAACATTACGGATGTATGATCACAAGCATTATCTGACACCTTGTTTACCACAAATCGAAGTCTATTACTATTCCTGTGGACCTTTCTTTGACCTAGTAACCTCAAAATCAGTAGACATCTCCTGCTCTTCAAGTGACTTTGTTCGGTTTGTAAACTATGATATTGGATGTGTGATGTAGGAGTAGTATGAAGAAACCAATAGGTCACTTAAGTTTAAGTTGATTAATAAAAGTATGATCTTCTCTTATACTTTAACCTTAAAAACAAAATGGATCTCAGACCACTCGAGGGACATTATCAGTCAAGTTTGAATGTTTGGTTAGACTGTCATACAAGTGAGAGGTTTAACTAGCTATTAAACCAGGTTTAATCCACCATTTTCTACATAAGAAAATGCCTGTACCAAGTAAGGAATATGACTGTTGTTATCCATTCGTTTGATGTGTTTGAGCTTTTGATTTTGCCATTTGATTAGGTACTTTCCGTTTTGAATTTTCCTCGGAGTTCGGTATTTTGTGATTTTACTTTTTAAACCAATTATTAAAAAAAAAAAACTTTTCGTAATTCAGCTCTGGTAATCATGCGCTTAGATATAATGTTCTTAAAGTGTATACTAATTCTTATTCCTTCCAATGGTTATTACGCATCTCATTTGATAAAGTTGGATTTTGATCTGAACAGTATAATTTATAAACTAAAATGTTGATGCCAGGACAGATTCGTGTTAGAAGCTATTTCGACGCGTCGGAAGCTTCTGGTGTTACCAGGTAAGTATAAATCTTTTATCTTTTATCTTTTATCTTTTATATGTATATGATATTATTCAATTAAATGATGTAATCCTATGTGCGTGACTCAGCTTATGTAGCTTATGTGAATTAATCCAAAGTTTGACTTCAGATGAGGATTAAATTCACATTTGAAACAGTTCATGTATTGAACAATTTTGGGACTAAATTTCAAACAATCATGAAAATTAATATAAAAATGTTGATCTATTAAATAGACAGCGAGACCTTTAATCCATTTCATTTCAAACTACCTCTGCTATGAAACAGATGCCATCATTAAAAACGAACAACGTAAGTTAAAATATTTAATATAACAATTAAAAGACTGTTAAAGAATCAAACAAGAAAGACTATAGTACATTTATCTTTTCAGTAACATCACAATAGTATAAAGGAAAACAATGATGCATTAATATTCTGGCTCAGTGTAAAATACAGTAATACCGCCAATAAGCAGTCACGTGTCATAAAAAAGAATCATTCAACTGACTGAATTCTATTAAAAATATAACCACATCCAATGCTTAAACTTAAAAAGAACACCATCATTCCAATTCTGTCCACCATTAAGGCGAGACTAATCCATAATTCTGAGTTTTCTGCAATCTCGGTTTCTTGTTCCGATAGACTTATAGACGAGGTGTTTCCCAGTTCTTCCTCTTTGTATTTTCTATTCTTGTCCAGAATGTTAAATATTTTGGCCAATGATTTATCCTTTAAAGAAAAATGGAAGTTTATATAAAGAAAAATGGAAGTTTATATAAAGAAAAATGGAAGTTTATATAACTAATCATTGTAAAGTTATGCAGCTTTGACTATCATGTATGCAGATTTGTCTGTCGTATGCGTAGCTTTGTCTGATATGTACGTAGCTTTGTCCGCCATGTACGCAGCTTTGTTTACCGTGTGCACAGCTTTGTCTGTCGTGTACGTAGCTTTGTCTGCCATGTTCACAGATTTGTCTGTCGTGTACGTAGCTATGTCTGCCGTGTACACAGTTTTGTCTGCCGTATGCACAGCTGTGTCTGTCGTGTACGAAGCTTTGTCTACCGTGTACACAGCTTTGTCTGCTGTGTTCGCAGCTTAGTCTGCCGTGTATGTAGCTTTGTCTGCAATGTACACAGCTTTGTCTGCCATGTACGTAGGTTTTTCTGCCGTGAAAACTGCTTTGTCGTGTACCTAGCTTTGTCTGTCGTGTACGCACTGTGTCTGCCGTCTACATAGCTGTGTCTGCTGTGTACGTAGTTTTGTTTGCTGTGTACACAGCTTTGTCTGCCGTATTCACAGATTTGTCTGTCATGAACGCAGCTTTGTCTGACGCGTACATAGCTTTGTCTGCGTGGTACGTAGCTTTGTCTGCCGTGAACACTGCTTTGTCTGTCGTGTACGCCGCTTTGTCTGTCGTGTACGCACTGGGTCTGCCGTGAACACAGCTGTGTCGTATACGTAGCTTTGATTGTCGTGTACGCAGCTGTGTCGGTCATGTACGCAGTTTTGTCTGCCATGTACGTAGATTTGTCTGCCGTGTACGTAGCTTTTTCTGCCGTGTACGTAGCTTTGTCTGCTGTGTACGTAGCTTTGTCCATCATGAACGCAGCTTTGTCTGGCGCGTACGTAGCTTTGTCTGCCGTGTTTCCGTGTATGTAGCTTTGTCAGCCGTGAACACTGCTTTGTCTGTCGTGTACGCCGCTTTGTCTATTGTGTACGCACTGTGTCTGTCGTGAACACTGCTTTATCATTTACGTAGCTTTGTCTGTCGTGTTCGCAGATTTTTCTGCCGTGTACACAGACTTGTCTGTCTTGTACTCAGCTTTGTCTGTCGTGTACACAGACTTGTCTGTAGTTTACTCAGACTTGTCTGTCGTGTACTCAGCTTTGTCTGTCGTGTACGTTTATCAATAACAATTTGATTGTTTAAAGCTGCAGATGAACCATATGTTCCCTCATCAATTGCAAATTTATTGTGTACTATTCACTGTAACAGTAATACATTCTTGGTAACAGTTTTCTTTTAAAGTTTTGCTACTTACCATTGGACTTTTTTTTAGTACTGACAGCTAGTTCTTTAATAAACAAACTTTAATTTACAAAATTAATCATCTATACCTCCAACTGATTTACCAGTAGTGTAAAACATAATAAGTAGTCTGAGAAAAACATAGTTACGATAATGATTGGACTTTTTTTAGCTGATGAAGACAAGTTTAGAACTGGCTATGGACAAAAAAGACTAATTGAAATTACTTTCTCGCAGTCGGGACAAATTCAGGATGAGAATATGTAAGAATATAGAAATATGAAAATAAAAATTGTTAAAAACTAAAATCAGTGTACAGTATCGGTAATTTCATATTTTTGCTTTCACAGATATTGGATATAATCCTTTATATATTTTGTAATATTGGTCGCTGAACATAAACCAACAACAATCTGTCAATGATTAACAGACTATAATGGATAAAACAATACTTACACATTTCGGTTGAGATTCTGTTACGTAAACGGGTTTTACTCTCGGAACATCTACATATGTTAGTCTACCAAGCAGTTTCAATACATAAAATTTTAACCAATCTGGCATTGGTCTGTCACCTCGATGATGTAAATTCAATACCAATACTTGCCAACATGAAGAACCACCAGATAAGATCATTGTAAAACTGAAAAATGAGGCTGGAAAAAAAAAAGAATATGAAAAAATACAAAAATTGAGATGTTCATTGTCATTATTCTAATTACAAAATGAAGGAAATATTTCAAAATTATATTGAACAGGGAAAAAAAGCAGAAGAAAGGTAACGTACAATTTAAAGATAATGGGGTCTATAAGGGGAGGTTTTTTAAACCTGTTTAAAGTATTGAAGCGTTTTTGCTTGGTGTTAATGCTATTTTTCGTTGGAATTGCATATATTGACATCTATTCTTTCGTTTTAATTTGTATACTAGTATATAAGTCGATCTCCGAAATGAGATATAATTTAATGACAGTAGACAAGATTTTGAAAAGTCAAAAGGATTTGAAGTTCTAGGGTTGTAGCTGAAATACTTACATATCCAAGGTGTTTCGTCAGCAGATGGGGGTAAATGGTCCGCTATCAATAACTGGAATACAGACATTGCTAACATCACGGTCAATTCTAAACCCACTTTCTCTCCAGAGTCAGCTGGTAGGAAAAATCCTAGCCCTGCTACCAATGTAACCAGTAAGGAGGGTATCAGTATATTTGTGACGTAATAGCCTGGTTTCCTCTTTAGATTGATATAAAATGTAACATCAGGATACGGTTCCGGACAACAACCATAATAAAGTTCGTGTCTGACGGCTGGTATTTTTTCAATGATCCATTCTACATTCTCTTTTACTGAGGATAGATCTCCTGCACCATGCTTGGTTGAGACATCAAGTTCAAACCCGTTATATGACCATGAACCGAACATCAGAGAACATATTTGGCTATCATAAGGAAATTTGGCCACTGAAACTGGACATAATGCTTCTATTTTGGAGGGAAAGTTGTAAGTAACATGGCCATCGGCGTAGATATGAGCTCTGAACTTCTCAAAACCGTAGAATTCCTCCGAAATACTGCAAAACAAATTGATAGCTATACCAATCATGTTACAATAAGTAGTTATTTCTACGCATGTCCCTAGTTTGATTTCGGTATCATTAGGTATCCATATCAATCAATTCACATTTTAAACAATATCTGTATTAAATGTCAAGGTTAATATTCAGATATGTAGTCCTTTCTTTCCCACAATGAATATGACTCGTTACCGAACAATGCAAATTGTTGGTTTTTTTCCATGAGCATCTGACATCAATGCCTATTCTATTGTTTGCTTCAATTTTCTTTATTGTTGTGATTAGTAATTGCTAGTTGTTTTGTCTTTGTTTCTTTTAGGGTTGTTGCTTTTGATTTATATATCAGGAGGGTCGGGTAATGAGAACTTAGTCTTAAATAAAGTTTCTCAAATATGCAATTTCCTGTATCTTATATTGACTCTTAAATAATAGTTAAGACACTTTCCATGAGAATAGTACTGGTTCCCTGCCACCATGAGCTACGATGATAAGTAAATATTCCTAGGATTTGATCTGCGATCCCTGTCATCATGAGCTACGATGATAAGTAAATATTCCCCAGATCTGATCCACGAATTTGCATGCTTTATTTGGTTTGTTTAAATGGGTTATTTCAACTAATTACATACGTACAATCCACCAACTAAAGTGAAAGCTGGAATTGCATGATTGTTTACTGAGATTTTCGAGAAAAAGTACTATTTTTTTTTGTGTTCTTCAGTGAATGATGATTAAATTTTCATATTTGTTATTATAGATAAAAACATTTAGAGACTATATGATTATGTCTGTTAACAACATTTAGAGACTATATGATTATGTCTGTTAACAACATTTAGAGACTATATGATTATGTCTGTTAACAATAAGAATATGTATTACCTTTCATAAAGTGTAATATCCGGTTTCCAGATGAGATCTATAGGTAATACTACAGACTTTGTTCCGTTATAATCGTCCGGGTTCCACTTCAGATGACAGTCCACCCAGCCCTATGAAAATAATACCAATCACCATAAGTGTCTCACTCATTTTATATCTGTTTAAATCATGACAAATTCGTTCAAATCGTATCCAGCTATTTATCCACTTATGATCTTAATCATATTTATAATCGATTTCTTTTTGTCGTTTTTCAAAATTGTATTCCAAACTTGTGAACAGCTCCTTGGACCATGTCAACAAAACTGTCTTATGATGGTCCTACGACATGTCATAGACGAAACATAAACAACAATTTTGACTGTAATATTTCACCTAAACCGTATTACAAACATCATCGCTTGATTATTCCTAAATGCGGACAGACAAACATTTAATCAAGTCACTTGACCGTATTTTAGAACATTTTTCAGGATACTTTTCCTAGGACATTTCTTAGGTCACACTTTTATCTTAGAACAGATCTTAGACCATATCTTAGGAAACTTTCATCTCAGAACATATACAAGAACACTTTTATATCAGAACAGATCTTAGAACATATCTTATGACACTTTTATCTAAGAACATATATATCTAAGGAAATTTTAACCTTAGAACAGATCTTAGACCATATCTTAGGAAACTTTCATCTCAGAACATATATAAGAACACTTTTATCTCAGAACAGTTCTTAGAACATACCTTATGACATTTTTGTCTTTGAACATATATATCTGAGGAAACTTTAATCTTAGAACAGACATTAGAACATATCTAAGAACAATTTTATCTTGGAACATATTTTAGGACTCTTTTATCTTAGAACAGATCTTAGAACATATATTAGGAAACTTTCATCTCAGAACATATCTTAGGACACTTTTATCTTAGAACATATCTGAGGAAAATTTTATCTTTGAACAGATCGTAGAACATATAGTAGACACTTTTATCTTAGAACGCTTTTATCTTTGAACAGATCTTAGAACATATCTTAGGAAACTTTCATCTCAAAACATATATAAGAACACTTTTTTCTCAGAACAGATCTTAGAACAGATCTTAGAATTTCTTAGGACATTTTTATCTTAGAACAGATCTAAGAACATATTTGAGGATTTTTTTTTATCTTAGAACAGATATTAGAACATATCTTAGGACAATTATCTTAAAACAGATCTTAGAACATATCTTAGGACACTTTTATCTTAGAGCATATCTGAGGAAACTTTTATCTTAGAACAGATCATAGAACATATCTTAGGACACTTTTATCTTAGAACAGTTATTAGAACATATCTGAGGAACTTTTCTCTTAGAACAGATCTTAGAACATATCAAAGGACACTTTTATCTTAGAACAGATCATAGAACATATCTTAGGACACTTTTATCTTAGAACAGTTATTAGAACATATCTGAGGAACTTTTCTCTTAGAACAGATCTTAGAACATATCAAAGGACACTTTTATCTTTGAACATATCTGAGGAAAATTTTATCTTTGAACAGATCTTAGAACATATAATAGACACTTTTATCTTAGAACAGATCTTAGGACGCTTTTATCTTAGAACATATCTTAGGAAACTTTCATCTCAAAACATATATAAGAACACTTTTATCTCAGAACAGATCTTAGAACATTTCTTAGGACACTTTTATCTTAGAACAGATCTAAGATCATATTTGAGGAATTTTTTTTTTATCTTAGAACAGATATTAGAACATATCTTAGGACAATTATCTTAATATCTTAGAACATATCTTAGGACACTTTTATCTTAGAGCATATCTGAGGAAACTTTTATCTTGGAACTGATCATAGAACATATCTTAGGACACTTTTATCTTAGAACAGTTATTAGAATATATCTGAGGAACTTTTCTCTTAGAACAGATCTTAGAACATATCAAAGGGCACTTTTATCTTAGAACAGATCTGAGGAAACTTTTATCTTAGAAGATACATTTTTGTATCTGAGGACATTTTCATCTTAGAACAGATCTGAGGAAACTTTTATCTTATAACAGGTCTTAGAACCGAGCTTAAGACACTTTTATCTTAGAACATATCTTATGACACTTTTATCTTAGAATTTATTTTAGGACACTTTTATTTTAGAACAGATCTCAGAATATATATTAGGAAACTTTCATCTCAGAACATATCTTAGGACACTTTTATCTTAGAACAGATCTTAGAACATATCTTATGACACTTTTATCTTAGAACAGATCTTAGAACATATCTTATGACACTTTTATCTTAGAACAGATCTGAGGAAACTTTTATCTTAGAACATATCTGAGGACATTTTTATCTTATAACAGATCTGAGGAATTTTTTTTATCTTAAAACAGATATTAGAACATATCTTAGGACACTTTTATCTTAAAACAGATCTTAGAACATATCCTAGGAAACTTTTATCATCTTACTAGGATACTTTTATTAACATAATTATCATATTACATTTTTCATCTTGTACATCTAGCTACCTAGTGTGATATCTTACTCTTAACTCGGCATCTATACCAACTGCTGACTTGTCGTGGTATATTATAGATAGCTACCTAGTGTGATATCTTACTCTTAACTCGGCATGTATACCAACTGTTGACTTGTCGTGGTATATTATAGATAGCTACCTAGTGTGATATCTTACTCTTAACTCGGCATGTATACCAACTGTTGCTGGCTTACATCATCTTAATTGTTGAGATGGTGAAATAAAAGTAAACATTTCTAACAAATAACTAAATTAAAATAGTAAAAAATATAAAATTAGAAATATACTAACCAATCGCATCCATACGTTAAACTGCACTGTCTGTTCTGGTTCGTTCTGCAAGACGAAAGCGAAACAATATGTTATGATACTGTGACTCTTGAGGTGGGGAAAGTGTGACGGGATTGCTTCCCTTCATTAGTAGATACTTAGTCAGCCGTAAGCGGTTGAGCTAAGGAAGTACTTCTTTAGCTCAGTCGGTTAACGCGCTGCCTTGTAACACAGAGGTCCCGGGTTCGAGTCCCGGTGGAGACATGCGATTTTGCAAGTAGAATCATGCTCTCCGGTTACAATACGATAGCTTTAGATTCAGTATCACTTTTTTAAAGGTGTTTTAATTACTTTGACATATATATCAAAATTATAGTTTATTTCTAACGTGTAACTAAAGATTTTAATGTATAACCGGGGGGAAAACAAAAGTTACGTTTAAGAACTATTTATCAAAATTTCAAAAGTGCTAGATATTAACATAACTATTGTTTTATATTGTATATATTTTTCTTTATTTTGAATACCGAGTTTAATTGTTGTTTTACAAAGTTTTATAACTTAACCCGATTCCCATGAGAAAGACAGTCTTCGCATTATAGAAGGAATTTCACTATTTTACAAAGTTTGACCCGAGGACACAACTGCGATTTAAGTGTTATAAGATTAACCTATATAAATCAGTATTATATTCCGCTGCATCACGGTGGCTATATTGGCCTGCAAGTAGAAGGGATCGCTTACAGGGAGGGGCTCAATTATTCGGGTAAATATAAGATTTTTGGTCAATGATAAAAGACATTATAGGCATTGCACAAGGTCGTTTTTTTTCTCTGTTTATGACGTCTTTACACTAAATCCATTGGATGTTGGATGTGTACGGATTGATAATTTAGTCATAGATGCATGATTTTTTTTATTAATTGTTAGTGGCTTTGAACTAGCTGTCAGTAACTGCGAGTACTCTCAGATCTGTACTTAGTGTCTTTTTGTTGTTTGGATGTACAAGTACCCGGCCACGTCCACTTGTATTTGTAGTATTTGTATTTTATTCATCTGATGAGTTAAGCCTCTTTCAACTGATTTTTATAGTTCGTTCTTATGTTGTACTGTTACACCACTGTCCCAGGTTAGGGGGCGGGTTGGGATCCCGCTAACATGTTTAACCCCGCCACATTCTGTATGTATGTGCCTGTCCCAAGTCAGGAGCCTGTAATTCAGTGGTTGTCGTTTGTTTATGTGTTACATATTTGTTTTTCGTTCATTTTTTGTACATAAATTAAGCCGTTAGTTTTCTCGTTTGAGTTGTTTTACATTGTCATTTCGGTGCCTTTTATAGCTGACTGTACGGTATGGGCTTTGCTCATTGTTGAAGGCCGTACGGTGACCTATAGTTGTTAATTTCTGTGTCATTTGGTCTCTTGTGGAGAGTTGTCTCATTGGCAATCAAACCACATCTTCTTTCTTATATTATAAAGAACATTTAATTATTGTTTCATATTATCAATTTTTAATAAATCATGAACTGTTGCTTAGACAGTTACCCCCTATATTTCGAACTGTAAACTGTAAATAAAATGTGTAAATAGATCTGTATTTATTGAACACAGTATTGCGTTTAAAGCAGCCCCAGTATCGTTTATAGACCATACAGATTTTAATTGTATAAAAACTTAGAAAGAACCATGATGACTGGAAGTCCTTATTAGAGTTTCTTTTTTACCATATTCCTAGGCGTTTTTACAAAAATGTACAGTCAGGTTCTTAATTTTCCACTTAGATAATCTTTTCGATGTTTAGTACTAACCAGTGTTATAAGCTGTCTGACTGCAAGATCAACAGTAACAGGAATTGTTTCTTGTCCGGGACAGACTGGTCGGACATTAGGTCCATAATCAGCTAACAGGTCCGCTGTTAAATTATCTAACCTGGATAGGGAACCTGTATAGTACATGTGAAGAAACAATGTTATATATCCTCAACGCTGTTAAATTATATAACCTGGATAGGGAACCTGTATACATGTAGAACATGTGAAGAAACAATGTTATATATCTTCATACTTTCAACGCGGGACGTTTTTTGTAACGACTGATGAAATTATAAAGGAGTAAGACATTACTTCTATGGCATTGTCAATTTGGGTTTGGTTTATTAGTTTGGATATCCCTGTGGTAACTTTCGCCTCTCTTCTAACAGTTCTTCGTTTGAAAAAAGGAAATCATTAAAACAAAAAAGACATTTGCATGATTATTTACGACAATGCAAAACAACCCTCCAACTCGACTAACAATTTCAACCAAATAGCCCCACTTTTCCATCAACTCGTCAAAATGACTTGTCCGACTAGCCCCAACTTTCATATTGACTCGCATCCACTCGCTCCATTGATGAAAAAGAAGCTCGTGATATGTTATAGGCATCTTTTCAGATGGTTTATGTTCAACGGTACACTCGTCTTGCACATGCATGAAATATTCAAATTATCTATTATTTTGTATTTACTATAAAATTATGACATTTTTTTCAAAATGTTTAACTTTTGTGAATACCTTTCTTTTCTTAGAAAATTTAATTTGTAAGACTTACCGAAAGATTCTGAACTGCCGGAGGATCCATCAGGAGTTTTGTCATTAATAACCTTACAGAAACCTGTCGAAAATATTGTAAAATGTCGTTAAATCAATAGGTACTTCAGAAATATAATCAATTACTGAATATCAAGCGTAAAACTGGCAACAGCTAAATAGAAATAAATTAGATAAAATTAACTAATTAAAGTAATGATTAAGACATAAATAATCTTAAATAAATGGCATACAACATGCTAGCTCTTAGAGAGTGTGTTTTGTTTTGTTTTGTTTCGTTTTTGTTTTTTATGTTTGTTTGTTGTTTTTCTTTTTTATCATGTACAAAATCACTTACCCAAGTTGCAAGTACAGAAATAAACACATAAAATAATGCTTCCTAATTTTACAACATCCATTCTTAACCAGGTAAAACACTATAGTAATCCTTCTTTAAATTTCTATCAAATCGGTTATTTGTAATGTCCAGACAAAACTTCAAATATATAATCTTTCTTTGTGACGAAATGTTATATAACTATTCAATTTACAGGTAAACGTATAATTACATATTCTATGTGTTTTCATTGTGTTAACTACAAGTGTCATTCTTTGAAGTTGAGTTGATGGTATCCTTGATTAAATAATGGCAACAATTAATTAGTGAAGAACATTACTCATTTTCATGTAATTAAGGTATCAAAACTTTAACAAATGAAAGTAAGTAATTACTATATCGACATGATCTTCAGTGTTATTGATATTTATTACTTTGACCAAGGATTAGTATAGTAAGTTCTTACTATACAAATCCTTGCTTTAACATACATGTACCTATATTGAATATGTGAAATAAGATAGTTAAGGTTCAACTTCATGTGGACCCTTCGTCTAAAATGGCTGCATTTTCACCTCAAAATTACAGAAAAACCTGTGCATCTGGAAAAGTTTTAAGGCATAGCATGCCCTAGCTTTTAATCACTCTATCACACTTGTTACCGCTGATGTGAAAACTCGTTTAGTTACGAGAAAACACCTTAACTATTGTCCGCGCAAGCTTTTAATCACTCTATCACACTTGTTGCCGCTGATGTGAAGACTCATCGAGTTACCAGAAAATATCTAAGCTATTGACCGAACCAGCTGTCAATCACACCACCACACTTGCTGTCGCTGATGAGAAGACTCATTTAGTTACAAGTAAACATCTAAGTTATTGACCGCTCCATCTTTCAATCACGCTATCACACTTGCTGGCGCTGATGTAAAAACTGCTGAGTTACGAGAATTTTATTCTTTGTAAAATATATTTTCATATTTTCATTTAAATCAAATAATTATACTTATAATGATAAGTGAATCTTTACATTGTAAAATGATGTACATTTTTATCGTAATCTTAAAATGACCAGTGCCTTAGGACGCAAACATATTAAAGTATTAAATGTTGATCGGTTGAAGTAGACAATGGAAACACAACTTGATTATTTCACATGGGCTAGATTTCATAACGCTTCACTATTTATACCTTGATATTATTTTAGTTATAGACACTTTGCTTTTTCAGAACTAGTAATAAAAATAAACAGAGAGAATAAATAATACAAAATATTTTATAAACAGAGAATGAATAGTACAAAATGTAATAAAAACAGACAAATATAACATAGCAGCTGTAAATATATCTAACTCGCCCGCTGACAAGTTTACAAGTTATGTGTAATGGGTATTTAGCACATACTTACAACTTCTCGTCCAATCATATTGCTTGTAATTGCCTTCTCCGTTTCATGATACATACATTTCCCGTGTACTAGGTAAGTATATGCATGAAATCAGAATGAAGGTTAAAATTCATTGTATATGAAAAATAAAAAATGCTATCGGCTATTTTTGAATAAAATTGTATGTCCCAAATTTGAAAAAAAAGTTTTTGTTGTTAGTTTTAACCTTGATTTTTATATATCGTGCTCACAGGCACTTGTTTCTGAATTGTTTTCTTTTTACCGATATATCTTAATATAAAAGTATATAGGGTTTTCTTTTTACCTATATATCTTAATATAAAAAGTATATAGGGTTTTTTTTAAGAGATAATAATTGCCTGTGGTCCAGCTATCAATTAAAATCTTAAGTTTAAAATATTTTTTAGACAAGGTTCTAGAATACAATCGAATATTCAGTAAGAAATAAACAAAACATGAAACTATAGATGATTAACTAAAAGCTACTATACGCACGGCCTTCGTCAACGAACAAAACCCAAACCGTATAGTCTGATATGAAAAGTCCCGACATGACAAAATATTAAACGACCTGATTTATGACAAACAATAAACGAAAAACAAATATGATATATAGACAGCAACCAACGACAACCATTGAATTACGGAATCAATTCCTTAACCTTATCAAGTGAAACTCAACTGTTTGTTAATTTTATCATCTTCTGCAAGGACGAAAAAAAGTGCACTGCAAAATCCAGTTAAATATTAAATTTTCTAAAACATACAATGCATTAGAAGTTTATTTATCTAGGGCATGCTATGCCTTAAAACTTTTGCCAGATGCGCAGGTCTGTCTGTACTAAGAGTAAATTTTGAGGTGAAAATGCAGCCATTTTAGCCAAAGGGTCCACATGGACCTTAAGAAACGTGACATGACTGGGTTTTGCTGGAATTTGTGAAAGGTATATATCACAACCCAAGAATAACGAAAAAAAAACAAAATGTTTACATTTCCGAAGCCAACACTCGATCTGGAGACAGTATATCTATGTTCCTGATTCGATCAAAGATGTGTCCAGAAACTTTAAATTTTAAGGGAAGATGTTGCATTTCCATATATACAAAGAGCTTAACAATATAATTCTTAAACATCAGCTAGTAAATGTTTCAAAGGGACTACCCCGAGTGTTCATACAGAGCTTTAAAGAGTGTTGTATCGTTTTTTTTTTAATCACTGCATGGATTTGATTTTTAAAGAAATCGTCATTAGTAAAAGGCGAACGGCGAAGAGTACCCTAAAATGACATGTGAACGGTAAACACTCATTTTAATATAACCGCAGGTTACCATGAGACGATTTTTGTATACCATACCAATAAAGCAAAGATTTATTTGTATCTGGAATCGGATCCCAGTTACAGGATACGAGATTTATTTGTATCTGGAATAGGATCCCAGTTACAGGATACGAGATTTATTTGTATCTGGAATCGGATCCCAGTTACAGGATACGAGATTTATTTGTATCTGGAATCGGATCCCAGTTACAGGATACGAGATTTGTTTGTATCTGGAATCGGATCCCAGTTACAGGATACGAGATTTATTTGTATCTGGAATCGGATCCCAGTTACAGGATACGAGATTTATTTGTATCTGGTATAGGATCCCAGTTACAGAATACGAGATTTATTTGTATCTGGAATAGGATCCCAGGTACAGGATACGAGATTTATTTGTATCTGGAATAGGATCCCAGTAACAGGATACGAGATTTATTCATATCTAGAATAGGATCCCAGATACAGAATACGAGATTTATTTGTATCTGGAATAGGATCCCAGGCACATGATACGAGATTTATTTGTATCTGGAATAGGATCCCAGTTACACTATACGAGATTTATTTTTATCTGGAATAGGATCCCAGATACAGAATACGAGATTTATTTGTATCTGGAATAGGATCCCAGGCACATGATACGAGATTTATTTGTATCTGGAATAGGATCCCAGGTACAGGATACGAGATTTATTTGTATCTGGAATAGGATCCCAGTTGCAGGATACGAGATTTATTTGTATCTGGAATAGGATCCCAGTAACAGGATACGAGATTTATTTATATGTGGAATAGGATCCCAGTTACAGGATACGAGATTTGTTTGTATCTGGAATAGGATCCCAGTAACAGGATACGAGATTTATTTATATGTGGAAAAGGATCCCAGTTACAGGATACGAGATTTGTTTGTATCTGGAATAGGATCCCAGTTACAGGATACGAGATTTATTTGTATCTGGAATAGGATCCCAGGTACAGGATACGAGATTTATTTGTATCTGGAATAGGATCCCAGTAACAGGATACGAGATTTATTTATATCTGGAATAGGATCCCAGTTACAGGATACGAGATTTATTTGTATCTGGAATAGGATCCCAGTTACAGGATACGAGAATTTTTTGTATCTGGAATAGGATCCCAGTAACAGGATACGAGATTTATTTATATCTGGAATAGGATCCCAGTTACAGGATACGAGATTTGTTTGTATCTGGAATAGGATCCCAGTTACAGGATACGAGATTTGTTTGTATCTGGAATAGGATCCCAGTTACAGGATACGAGATTTATTTGTATCTGGAATAGGATCCCAGTAACAGGATACGAGATTTATTTGTATCTGGTATGGGATCCCAGTTACAGGATACGAGATTTGTTTGTATCTGGAATAGGATCCCAGTTACAGGATACGAGATTTGTTTGTATCTGGAATAGGATCCCAGTTACAGGATACGAGTCCAGTACCTCGAATCCCTTAACAAATCTACCATCTTTTAAATGGGACGTCTTACCGAGATGAAAATTATGTAAAGATGCTTAAATTTGTTGTATATTCAAAGGATATTCATTAAACTTTCAACTTCTGTTAAATTTTGTGTTATTCTGAAATGTATAGGGTGTATGATTGTCTGAGTAAATGGTCCAAGTTTTATTTTTGATTTTAACTAGGAGGTGAATAAAATGACCCTATTAATACTCAAAACAGTATTGCTCTTTTAAATGCCGGATATGTCCCTTGAAGAATTCTCCAAGAAACCATGAAGGGGCTACTAGTATGAGAAAGTAATTGGAATTTGACAGTCAAATATAGGGAATAAAAATGTGCCACTCATTTATGATAGAATTGTTGGGATCGGTATCGAGCTAAGCTTTCGCTCAACGTATTTTCATTCATTTCAATTGATCATCACTATAGGCTTATATTATGGCAAAGATCATCCTCATTATATCATGACTTTGTATGGTCAGAACATTTAACTTCATGCGATAACATTTCTAAAGCTGTTTGTTAATTGTATTACTTTTGTACAAATCCCGTACCAGGCGTTCTTCAGAAATATTATGAATAGATATATAAACCTTTATCATCTGGTAAATTTTGATAAGACACTCTAAAATCAAAAACAAGCATTTTTCTATGGAATTTATAATTAAAAATATCTAAGCTTTTGATCGAACTTCCCGCATGTTTTGTAGTGAAGACTAATTGAGTTACGAGAAAATACCTAAGCTATTGTCCGCACCAGCTTTCAATCACTTTATCACGCTTGTTGCCGCTGATGTGAAGACTCGTCGAGTTACGAGAAAATATCTAAGCTATTGACCGAGCCAGCTTTCAATTACACTATTACACTTGCTTTCGCTGATGTGTAAACTTATTGAGTTACGAGAAATATTTAAGCTATTGACCGAG